TATATATATATATATATATATATATATATATATATATATATATGATTATATTACAATAGTTCTTATTCTGATGTTAATTCCATAAAGGAGGAAAAAAGAAATCAACATTGTACTGTGAACTTAATACATCTATTCCGTTTGTCATAAACTCATTTCTAATTTAAGATCAAGAAATTTTGTTTCGGAAACCTTTCAACATTTGGAAAAGTAATAATGGTAAATTAAATTTTAGGCGTAAACTTGGTTTAGGCCTAAAATTTCATAAACTTGGTTTGAAATTAAACTGGTTGATAATTTAGCACTTGGATTATTTTATTAATTCAAGTACTTTCTCTTCCTTCATTGAAATGCCACAAATCTCCTAACTCAATTGATTCTACAGGTATAAGTTAGATTTAAAAAAACAATAGATGATAGGTATAACTGCCTTCATTCTTTTAATGTCCTGTTTTGGATATTATTCGTCATTTTCTTGTTTTCATTTATAAATATAATAAAATTATTTCGATAATTTTCATTAAATATAAATAAACAAATTTGCAATATCAGTTATCATATAATGTGAACAGTTATTCTGATGCGGTTATCACGTAAAACAGCATGCGTTAAACAATTGCTGCAAAATTTACCTGAAGTATGCTTGAAACTTTGAATAATTAATGCTAAGCAATTATTATGTGTTGCTGAACGATTGTCACATTATGTTGGACAAATGTCAAGTTATGCCTAACGCATGCTACTATTTGTTCATTTACTTCATAAACGCACGTATTTAACGTGAGATTGGACGTTTCCTAAGTGGTACTAAACGGTATAAAATGATTGTTATTAGGTTATTTAATCACTAGAAACTAAAAAGATTGCCAACCATAGCATTATACTTCATAATTTCAAGAAAGCAAGGGTAAGATTGATTTGATTTCAGATTATTCATATGGAAATCTTACGAAATTAAGGAACAAATCTGATCATAAGTAAATTGGTAGAGAGAAGTAAGGGGTAAAAAAAGAATAGTATCAAAGGTTACTTCCTGAGATTAAAAAAAAAATGTTTGTTGAAGGGGAAAGAAGAGTTTGAGCTGTATGCATGAACCATTAGAGCTGCTACGCATGGCGAGGCTTTCAAAGCATATTTTAAAGACTTTTTGAGGTTTCACGTAATTCACGTGAGTGTCTTACGTGATTTAATTACGTCTGTTCGTCGGGTCGGTTTACTTAAGGGTTTCATACGTTACATCATTTTCCATTTAGTTTCTGTAAACTTTCAAGGTTTCATTTCCAAAAGAATTCAATCCAGTTTATGGCACTTCAGACTTCCATGCCTCAACTGATTGTTTATTTGTAATTTAAGCCTGATCTCGCTATCTATCGATTTTTTCTTGAGTAAATTTGCTATCAATACACTACGTATTTCGAATAAGTCTACCGAATATTACTTGTAAATACTTGTAATCAAGTAGCCGGAAACTTTTAAATATTTTCAGATTGTAACGGTTTTCCTTTAGTACAACGTATTTTTTGCAATAAAGGGAGGAGGACTATTGCTTATAAAGTGGTAGTTGTATTGTGGTCATAGCAACCTCTCACAATTTGTAGACATTCAAATTTGAAAACAAATATTTGTTCAATTTTTATAGGTGATATTTAGAAATAATAATAAGCATCAATGCCGAAAACAAATGTACTTCATTTGCTAGCAGCAAGTAATAACCCAACTGCCGTGGACGTGGTACAAAATTTGTTGAAAACAGGTCAGAAACATGTCAATGAACGTGAAGAAGAAGGGCTAACAGCATTGCACGTTGCTGCTGCGTGGGATAATTTGGCAATGTGTCAGTTACTGATGTATTTTGGTGCCGATCCTTTTCAGGAAGATGATAACAGAAGGTAGGTCATGTTTTTATCGAACTTCATTTTGGTTTTCTTGACATTTAATTGCATGTAAAACTCCAAAATTTGTTGTAAAATTAAGACAGGAATTGAAAGGAAAAATTTTAGGATGGAACTTTTTTTGTATCCCTCATCTTAATATTCTAAAGACAGAGAAATATACACGAATTTTTTCTTTTTCTTTCAAATTTAACTTGGAGTTTATAAAATTGGCGAACATATTTAGTGGTTCTTTTATCGTTACCTTGCATTCGTTCACTTTTCAACGGCACTATGCAGTCGTTTACTACAAAATTTTTCATATTTGGAAACTCTCATGTGTTGTGGGTGGTTAGCGTGCTTGAAACTGCATAGGGATAGATTTAATTTTTGAAGTTTTTTGTTATCAGGAAGAGAGTGACAGTTTGAAAAAACTTTTTCGAACCCTTTATGAAAACTAAGAAAGCAACACCTTTTGATCACGAAATTTTTTATTTCAATTTTCAGTTTTACAATTTATTTCTAAATATACGATTGTTTCCATTACAGAACAGCGAAAGATATGGCAAAAGGTTCGGTGAAAAAATTTTTTGAGCGTCTCTATGAAACCGAAACTCCTGAAAAGAGTCGATCTATACAGCAATCATTTTTGCGCGCTCTAAATCGACTGTTCTCATGTGGAACGAATAAGGCAATCGAAACACTTCCACAACTAGAGAGATCGCATTCCTGGTCACCTTCTTATGATGGGACTAAGAATTTTCTGTCAGAGGAGGAAAGACGATTACGGCTGGCTTTTCGGAAGAACCAACCGGGTTTTCCTGTTGATAAAGCGAGAAAAAAAAAGTCCTTTTCTCCGATAGGTAAGACATAATTGCATTGAAATAGAAAGAAATAAGTTCGGTATACAGGATACCTTTCACTGATGCGTTGAGTTGTGAATTTTTTAAATTTCTGATCATTTGATTACTTTTCTATCGTGAAATTTTCAACTGTATTGTGGAGTAAGATTGCTAAATAGTCATTTTTTTTGGCTAAATTTCTTAATCGGCTTGTAACAAGATCTATCATTTAGCTAAAGCTGTTGCATTGTTGGGGAAAAAGTAGACTGACTCCAAAGAGGATAAGGATCATAAAGGAAGCATTTAGGATTATGAAGGAAATATTAAAACCACATGACATGAACATATGTTTTCTAAAATCATCGGATTGGTAGATGATGAACAAATGAACTCCTTTAAGGCAATTGTTATATCATTAAACTATTTTTCCAAATCAGATATAATTCAGTTTTCTTTGTCAAATTTAACTTTGTTACAAAACGTTTTTGCTACATTTAATATTACCTGCTTGATTGAATGTTCTTCACTAGTTGAATGTTACAGAATCTTGAAAGTTTCAATAATTCTTGCAAAATACTAAATTGACTGGGTGTAAGTAAACTGTGGATGATATTTTAATTTTAATTTTGAAGAGAAAAAATCATCTGAACGAACATCTGCTCTCACAGTGCACTCAGCGCAACAGTCCACTTCGTCATCCGTGAAACTGCCTGAACCTGAAAGCGATGATAATATGACTTTTGCTACAGCTCCTGAATATAATACTAGAGAGGATCATCGCTTGTTGTGTAGCCGAAATTCGAGTAATACATCAGCTTATATTTTATCCGAAGAATTTGCATCACTGAAACTTAGTCCAGCCTCTCCTCACGTCATGGATTCGATGGCCAAAGAATCTCATGTTGAAAGTAAGTTTTTCTCTTTTAAATCTTTCTTTTAAATTTTATTCGCATATCTGAAAATTTCCAAAGTGAATTTACAACGCAGTTTCCTAGAAGAAGGATTTAAGAATAAGGAAGATTTAGAGTTACTGTAAAATAATTTTTTGTAAAATAATTTTAATCTTTACTTATTTTTTTCTTCAAAATATTCTGTCAACATATGTTGTTACAATGCTCATTCCAGCTTCAAGTATAAAGATTCCGGCGGAAATTTTGGCAGTAGTGCGTCGGTTGTCAGATGAACGGTTAAAACAGGAACTGGCCAAAAGGCAAGTAATTAACACTTAATTCCGTTTGTTACACACTTCATTTCATTGAGTTAATAATATTTTGTATTCAGTATGCCTTTCTTTCGGATGTTGCTCTAGTTTTGTCTGAAGGACTTTATAATGTAAGTATGTTATCTCCCTGATCCTGTTCAGAGCACGAGAGAGGAGGCTTGCTTCTTCATCAATTGAGGTATCTAAATCAAAAGCAATTGGAAATTAGGAAATACTGATGACTAATTAATACGAGATTGACTTCCAGGTTTTCTGAGATTTGTGCTTTTTTTTAATATTGAATTATACTGCGTTCATTTCTTAGGAAAAAACGGAATAAGAATTAAACGATTTCAGGGGCGAGTGTATCGGACCACTGCTTGAAAATACGCGTCCAGCGTATGAGCTAAAACTGGCGCGTTTGATTGCAAATCTACCTTCCAGTGTTTCAAAATTAAGTAAATATGTCAGATATTTGTGAGCTTATTTCTAAAAAGAAATTTTAATGTGCCTCAAATTGTTCAGTTTCAAAAATTCCTTCAGTCACTCTCTTGCAGAGTACAGCTGGGCACTTGAACGTTGGATAGCCGGTCACTCATTTTCTGAAGGTTCGAAGCTTGATCAAATTCTTATAAGCAGTTTTGACGTATTTCCCGGTGAACAATGGAGAGGAGGAAATAGGCCTACTTCGTTTTGTTATATTTTAATTGGTGAGTTTTAAAGAAAGGTTGTTGTTGAAGTTTGTTGGTTTGAAATTATCGCAGCTTGAAAATTATTTTAGCTAGTTGTATTACTTTCAAAATTCACACATAAATTTGGTTTTCAGTACGTGTTTGCTGTTTTTACAAGCCAGTTTTTTATAGAAATATTACCGCTCAGGTTTCGTGTAAAGTCGTGTTATACGCTTCAGATCCTTCCGTTATCAGTCTTCCTAGCAGTAACTGTACAATGCAACAATTTGTTGATTCCATATTTTATATTGGTAAAGGGAAGCGTTCTCGTCCTCTCCAACATCTGGTGGATGCTGTTCGAGCCAAAGGTTTTGGCCATAGTGTTCTATTGGTAAGAAAAAGTAATTTGAAATTTTAGCTTTCAAAATTACTGTTAGTTCATGTTATCAGCAATTTGTTTTCTGAACAAAAAATCAAAATGAAATTGTCTCACGGTTCTACTGTCAGATACATCTTCCATATCCTGAACAGATATACAACTTAGCCTAGCAACATTAGCTAAAATGCTGCTACAAAATATGATGATTTTTACTAATCACTGAACTGGACACACATCTAATGACCGGAAGATCTAATGATCGATCATCTAATGACCAAAGCTAGTCTGTAAAATTTTATTGTAGTTTTGTCATCTTACCCAATGATTTTGTTTTTTGAGTTGTTAACAGGAAACTGAAGAGAACTGTTTATTCAGAAAAGTAAAAAACTGCAAAGAATTGTCAGTCTTTGGGATGCTGGCCATGGTGTTGTGTCATTACATGTTTTCCAGAATACAATTCCTACGGAAGCATTTACAAGAGAGGCAGCGATGATTGATGCCATCGGTAAATTTGTTCATTGATTTTCCAGTACATTCTCATATATTATATGTAACATATTTGTTTGAATTACATGATCTGTGCAAATTAATTGAACATTTCATCTAAGGGATGGGCCATAGCTTTTTCTTATATGGATATCACACTTGTGGCACTAATATAGATGATATTGCTTTGCACTCCCATAAAGCTCCTTATGTTGTATCATCCTTCAGGAAGCATCTCCTAAATAAGTGTTTTTACTTTTCAATTAAAAATTAGAAAATATGTTCTTCACTTTAATATGGACGATATTATTCTTTAATCTAAGAAACTTAGATTTAAATAGGTTGTGGATTTCAAATTATTGTATCAAAAATTGAAATCAACCAGGTCTTCGAAATTTGACGAATGTTAGAAGAGGTGATTACTATGGTCCTGCGAAAAACTGGACGACAAAAGAGAAAACAGTCTATGGCAGTTATCTGTTGTTCAATGCACTATCAGTATTTCATGTTGAAGGCTGTCGCGAAATATATGAAGATGATGTGCAGGAAAGATAGTTTCAGTCTACAGTAGTTTTCCTATGGTATTTTTAATAGCATTTCATTTATTTAATTTTTGCAAAAGCTGTTTCATAAATTTTTTGAACTGTGAGGGGATTGCACATTAATCTCATGTTATGAAACATTACCAGACATGGTTGGTAATGCTCACTGTTTAAACAAAGTTATATAATGCCGTTTAATTCGCTTTTCCTTTGAGATTTCTAATGCTTTCCCTGTCTCTCTTGTCTTTCATTTCATTTTTTGCTGCATGAATAATTTTTTATTTTACAGTTCCAATTTTTTATAACTTCAGCAGGATTTTCGGAAATTTGATATAAGTGTTGTTGACTTGATTTTGATGATTATACTTTCATAAATTAGAAAATGTAAAATTGTCTCTTTTATTGACAATCATTGTTTGCCATTCTCACTTTTTTCTCTTTTTATTGTCTTGTACTCCGTGTAATATGTGAAGTATCAGGTGTTTTTATCTTTCCATGCTCAGCTGGCTTGAGGAATCTTTAGATTTCCAACAGTAATGTTTATTTTTTTTCATATTCTGTCGTAATCGTAACTTTTGTTTGATACGACGACATTTATTGTTAAACTAATGAAGTTTTTATTTTTCAGGTTTACTCTGAATTTACTAGTGAAGTTTTTATTTTTCAGGTTTACTCTGAAGTTTTTCAGGTTTACTCTGAATTTACCGACTTGAATGCATTCCCATCAGTATATATTAATGCAATTAACTGTCATATGAAATGATCAGTCCGTAAATTTATTTGAAATTATATATTTTTAACTTTTTTCTTTTCTTTAAAATCATATCCTTCCAACCAGCTGTTTTTGTCTTGTTCGAAGACATGTCTGTCAGTTATATTTTCGTCATCTTTACCGATTATTTCTTTGACAAGTTTTGTATTATGTTATACCCGGGTATCCTACTTAGTCTTTTCTCATTTCCAGTCTTTTTTCGATATCATTCAGTTTCCGGGTCTTCTCACTACCTATTTTTCGCTCTATTATTGTCAGTACCGTATAAATTCACTTATTTGCTAATTCAAGCACTTACTGAGCACTTACTGAGCACTTACTTAAAATTGAGCACTTACTTAAAATGCTTTATTTGTTTACTTATTTCCTTATTAACCAATTACAGTGATTATCTTCCTACTTTCATTTGTGCATATGAGCGTACATCCCAATAAAAAAAATCATTTATAAATGAAAATAATCATCGTGTTGTGGATGAGGTTTTATTGCTTTCTCCTATTTTACTACTTACAATTTCCTCTACTATTCATATTATTTACATACGTTTTATCATTTACTTATTTTTGAATTCGTGGTTTTAGAATTCTGGATTTTGCAATAGAAAAGTTGAAAGAAGATTTATGAGAAAGCTTTTTTTTTATACGGTTATAAATGAAAGAGGTAAGAGAAAGCACTAAGCAATCATATTGGCATACCGCAAGAAATGAAAATTCGGAATTTGTAAGTGGGAAGAATTATGCAGTCACAAAATATTAGGAATATAGATTTTTTTGTTGAATATCTGAAATGTATATTTAGCCCAGCTATAAACAGATACTAGCTTTCTAATTTTGGAATAACGACCGGAAGCATAAGGCACTATAGTACCTCTAATCTTCTAAACAAAATGGTAAAGGTAATTAAAAAATATTTCCTCAGATTAATTTTCCTTTTTTTTATAATTGGAATAGATATTGTTATTAGTAAGAATATTCATCACACTGTCGATAATAAGCATTTCCGGACTATCATATCATGATTTTCACACTATCAATTCTCCTGATGACATTAATATATATGACTGAGAGTTGAGCTATAGTCATAAATTGAAAGTAGATTAAGGAGTTTTAAGATTTCTTGATTTTACCGAGAACGAGGTTCATAATTGGATCATTCTTGTTCATCTCTTCCGGTAATGTCACGACGACATACCGAAATGGATCTTTTCATTCGATGATCATTTAATGATCTAAGTAATATAATCCTTTTTTTTGTTCTTGCATCTGTAATTAATCAATCCACTTTCACAAGATTGAAGCTTAAAATGATTATTTTTCAGTATATTAATATTTTGATACTAGATGTCACCACCGTTAAGTGCAACTAGTAGACGACACCAACATCGCTTATCAAGCCATAATTATTATCACGATCGAGCAAATGATCACACAAATGGTTCCAGCACTCATTCTAGGGAGAATGATTTAGATGCAAAATGTGGAAATTTTTTACCCAAAGATGGCATAGAAAAGCTTCTAAATGAAGATTCTACAATATTAAGTGTTAGACATGATGCTTTTCCGGTTTTTGAGTGTTTTGCGACAGAGATTAGTAGTTTGGATGCGAAAAAGAAGTTATACAGTGATCTACAGGTGGGTAATTATTTGAAAATTTAATTTTACAGTTTGCCAATCTGATTTGCCTACTAATAAGTTAATAACATGTAGTATGCACTGTTTTATGTTGCTCAGGGAAGTTTTAGAGTACTTTTTTATAATCCATATTTGGGGACGATAGTTGCCATACTTTTTAAGAATTGATTTCTCTCATACTTGAGCTTCAATGACTATGTTCGGAAAAGTTGTTTCAATGAATACGATACATTGTTAGCATACTGGCCATACTTGATTAATTTTATGTCATCGAAGAGTTTTACCAAAAACATTTTCAACCATATTTTTGAATTTTAGGTTGGTGATGAATTGTGCTTCCGAATCCGGCGTGTCGAGCTTGCTGGTGTCTATGCTGAGCCTGTTTGCACGTTACATTCGTTTCGCCGAAGTTTGAGGTGGATTAATGATTTTCAAGTGAGATTCATGACAAATTCTTTTAATAAATACATTTACTAATGAAATAATGTGTGTTTTCATAATTTGCCTGAATCATATGAATTTATTATCCACATCATTTTCAGTTTTGATTACTCGTTGAGGAATGTGTGACAGAGCTTGATGCACTAAGCTTTATTTCACATTTCAATACACTTCAATTTAGGCTATTCTAGGGTACTGAAACAGCTTCAGTTGGAGAGTAACCATTAAGACGGAATCTTGAAAGTTAAACTGCCCAATTTTGGTCATTTTTAACATCCGTAGAGTAACGGCATTAGTCCTCGACCTCCCCTAATCATTTAAGACTAAATTTCTTCATTGTTATCAAAAGTCCATCCTGCTTTTTTTCGTTTTGCTGCAGGTTTTACTGGAGCGAAATTTACAAAGTGGACATGATTACCGACCAAACGATTTGATCAGAGGTTCGTTTTAAAACCGTTATTATTTTATCATTAGCTTAATCGCATCGTTTTGCAGTTTTGGTAGTTGGCTTTGATGATGAAAGAAAAATTCCGATTTTTGCTATAGATGAAGATGCGGTAAGTATTTTTTTTTCCCTGATCATCCTATTTTTTCTTTATACATGTATATTGCAAGTGAGATATAAAAGTTGGAACTGAAATCGTTCACAGAAGTAATTTAAATATGGATTTAATATTTTGGTGTCTTGTTTATATCTTCATTTTATTGATTTTTCTTTTCAATTGAGGGTCTTTTGACGGAAGCTGAATTGCCGGCTTACTTCAGGTTAGCTGAATTTCTTTAAAATTTTATTAAGATTTTGGTCTTACTTAGGTGATTTGTTGCATTGTTAATGGTAGTAGCTAGATGATAGTGAAATATAACAGGAATTTTCTCTAAAAGCTTCAGGAATGTTATTAGGTGGTTAAGAGTTACTTTAAGCCGGTTCATCCGATTTGCATCAATGCAGTTTATTAAATTTTTCTATAAGTTGAAAGATTAGCCAGTTGATTTTGTTGGGTCAGTTTTGTTTTGCTTTCAGCTCTGAAAACAGAATTGAATGTTAAGATTAAAGATTTTGAATTCAACCAAAAATGAATATTTAAAGGAATGGTGAAGAAATTGGGACCAAAACTTTCGATGAATGTCTGAAGGACTATCTACCAGCCACTAATCCTAATCTCGCAACGCTTTTTGGTATACAGACCGACTTAGCTATTTCTTTTTTGCATGATTTAAAAGGTTTTTTTTGAAAAAAATAATGTATATATATATTTTCAATTTTTTAAATATATGCATATATATATGCACAGTTTTAGATCGGCTATAATGGAAAAGAGCACGTCAAATTGTAAGGAAATTGATTTTGGTCTTTCGGATCTTTTCTCTATGTGAAGTTTTTGGAGATATATACAAAAACAAATGGTGGAAGTGCATAATATTCAAATCAGCTTCAGATACGGATTTTTCGCCAAAGCAACGTGCTCCTTATATCCGTCGTAAGCAGAATGAGAATCTTTCAATGAGTGTTGCCAAAAGGGGCGTTGATAAGATTCGAGAAGGCGAAAATGCTACTGCTGTGCAGCATTTCAACAAAGCACTCTCCATTTGTGAAAAAAATATTGAAGCACTAGTTGGCAGAGCAGCTGCGTATGTTGTTGTTTATTCTAAATATTTTTGGTTTCAGTTTATTTCCATAAAGTAATTCCGAAAGTAGTTTCTGTTCATTAAACATTCCAAATTTTGTTCATTCTACATAAGAATTTGCTTTTATAATTGAACTGAATCGGTTGTCCATGATTTTGCTGCATGTAATATTTTTTATAATTGAACTGAATGGAATTGATAATTGAAATTGATTTTAATGCAGTTTAGGTATGCCAATATGGGGCAATATAATTTAGCCGAAACAGACTTAGATGCAGCTTTGGCAATAAATGCATCGCATACAAATGCAAGAAATTATATGATCGAAACGTTATTACAGGAAGCTAAAAGGTAGTAACTAGAATTAATTCCACCCAGATAGTGCGTAATTGTCATGCATTCAAGTGTTGAATCTATCTATGCTAGAACCCGTAGAAATCGGATTTTAAAAAGTAAAAAGTTTTAAAAAGAGAAGAAGTGGAAATAAAATTGAAGAAAAAGAAGAAAGGCAAAGAGTAAAGGAAAATAAAAATTAGATGCAGCTGTTTATGCTGTGTCAAAGCAATCTAAGAAAATGTGACTAGCGTTGATATATTGTTTCTTGCTGCTATACCAGCTATGAATAAAGTTGTCTATTTGTTTGGTACAAGCTGATAACACTGCCAGCAGTACTATTTGCTTTGTTTTGTTCATTGTTTGCATACATTTCATTTGATGTTTGAACATTAATCAGTTGGTAATTTGAATTATTTTCAAAATTAAATTTTTAACTCGGTTGTCCCATGATTTTGCTGCATGTAATATTTTTTATCGGGTTATCAACGACTGATGTAGTTTTTTCTTTTTTTAAGTATAATATATATATATATATATTCCAGATTAGAAGAAGCCGGTAAAAAAGATGAAGCAAAAACGAAATATGAAAAAAGTCTAACGATAAAAGATGATGCACGTGCGTTAAATGGTTTAAGGAATCTAGAACGAAGCCCATCAGTTGAGGTAAATTTTTCCGGATTTTATTTCGGAGCGAGGAGCCTAGGTCTTGGTAGTGGGTAGTGATTATATCGCGTCAGATCGTGATTTCTCACAAAAAATAAAAAGAATCTATAGTAAATAATCGGTGCTTTTACTTTTTGACATTTTTTTTTCAATCTTAAAATCGATATCAGAGAGGTGCGATTTCGTAGAGGCAGTATTTGCAAGGTGCTATTAATCTCAATAAGTTCTATTCTTCTTTTATTCTCTTAGATAGTTAAAATGAAGAATGATGGTGCTAAAACGAAAGATCGAAAAACGGAATATTCGAAAGCAGCTGATAAAAGGCAACGAAGAAAGCGTCGTAGAGATGCAGAAAAGCTAGCCGAATATGAACGATTTATTGCAGAGCTGAAATCAAAGTGATTAAGATATTGTGATGTTTTTATCGATTAACCAATCAATTTATTAACTAATTGGTAGTTTGATCTCAGTGAATTGTTGATAAAACCTTATTTTCCTTGCATTTTTTTTCGTTTTTACTCCTTTGTGTATTTCATACAGTTTCAATATTTGAATTACATCGTCGGTTTTAATTTACACCCTATCATTTTCTCTCTCGGTTATTGTGTGAATTAAATTTCATAGAAAGAGAGAGAGAGAAATTATGAGAAAAAGCATCATTCTGTTAAATGGTCGGAGCAAATTTAGTGGTGGGATTCTTCAGTGCAATCTTTTAGTTAGTATTAAGCAACATTCAGCATGACAAAAAGTGATAAATATGGTTCAGAAAGCATTCAAAATTTTTTAAGGAGATAAAACATAGGATTGGTTCCAAACATTGAATTACGTGAGATACAATGTCTTTCCTCATTTACATCCTATTGCTCTTCTAATGATTGAGTTTAGGTTGAAATAATATGAAGTGTTATTTTTCTTTTAAACTTCCAGGATTTCTTGCAGCAATGCAAGGAAAAAAACTTGAGTTTTGATTGGAATGGGAGCATCTTTTCTAATTTGCGGGAAATTTTTTTAATAATATTTGGCGCTATATGAGCCGCATTGTTGTCTCCTATCAGATGTCTTGTACGATTAAAGTTAAAAAAAGAAAACGAAATTTGAAGCTATGATTTAGTAGTGTTAATACTAAGTCGTGCTTAGGACGATCAGATGCCCTATAAAAATATATAGTACCCAGATAAAAATATGAAGTTCTCAGTAAAAATGCGGAATGTAACAAGTGTTTAATGTTTAGTGTTTAGTCTGATATACTGCTGACATTTCAGGAAACCATTTTTGCTTCAAGCAGTAATGATTATTGAGCGGATAGAAGTTGGTCGATGTCTATGTATTCATGCTCAATTACAAGCTGTTGATACTGTTTTGCAGTCATTACTGTATCAACGTGGCATCGTACCATGTGTTGTAACGCAATTATTTTCAACCATTGAATCACATGATGAAATTAAATTTGTTGAAACATATGCAAAGGTTGTATTTTTTTTTTGTGTTATATACATGTTTGAAATAAAGAGTTTCGCCAAATCTCTTGTAACTTTTCCATTTTAAGCTTGCATATTTAACTGGAAATTTAAAATTCTAATTTTAATATTGTATCTGATGAATTCATATTCCATTTCCGTTTGAAAAAAAAAACCGAATATTTTTTAGAAAATTTAACGTTGATATATTATGAAGCATTTCATATTTCAACTTATTGTGTTATCTGCATTTGGATTTTTCTTTTTTAATCAAAAAGAGACCAAATATAAATTATAATGGAATCTGAGATATCTGTTCAATTGCTAGATCTAGTACAAGCCGGAGAGAACTTACAATAAGTCTAGAATGGATTAAGATCAGATATTTGTAAGCCAAGTTAATGCCTGGACAAATTTAGGCACGAACCTTCATGTGAAGTTCATATATAATTTCATTTGCAATTATTATATTTTTATCTAATCAAAAGGGAAATTTTGATTTTTGCAGATTAGAGAAGCATTGAGAGAGTTATTCCGTAGCTGTAATCGTCGTGCACTTCATGAAATTGTTATAATTATTGGTGCATCATGTGCGATACCACAGGAAATTTATCAAATACCTATTAAAGTATGTGATTCATTTGAATCAGATCATTCACACTGTGGTGAAAATTGTGCTGAATTATCGGCAAGGTTAGTTTCACTTGCATTATATTGTGGTTAATATAACCAAAGTTTCAACAATATTCAACAGAAATGAGAATATATTCTATGGTTTGTCTATTCGGAGTTCTAAATCCTTAATTATTATGAAGTACGTTACAAATGTTTTAGTCTACATTTCAAATGGCAATAATTTTCAGGGAACAGCGTATGATATCATCGTCATTGGTAGTAAGTGCAAATTTAAATACTACGCGGAATATTACTCGAAATACACGTGTTTGCATTTTGGCGCGTGGGACGTCTGCTCTTAAGTTTCCGGAAGAACTTGTTGAAAATGAGTAAGTGAAAGTGTTATCATGGTAGCTACTCTAAACATCAAAAGAAGCAATTAAAGCTATTGAGTAAGCTAACTGAAAGAATTTGTTGTAGCGATGGTTTTGAATTGCCGGAAGATGAAGTGTTAGCACGACGAAAGATCTTTTCAGTACGGTTTATTCTAAAACACCTTTGTGTCGAGGATGTTGTCGTAGTCAGTGATCCTGATACAACTTGGTTCCGTCTTTCACCGGTTATCCGTGCATTCAGTTAGCAAGTTGTTTCTTTTGTTGGACGAATATAAGAAGTTAACAGTCCGTGAAACTTTAAGGAGATTATCCGGTACCTTGAATATACAAGTGCCCTTGAAATTCAGTTACATTAGATTCCCTACCAAGAAATTTAAAATAATGCTGATGTAATGTTTGAAAAAGTTTTTGTGCTTATTATTCGTCCTTATCAGAGTAGATATGATTGTTGTTATTTAAATGCACTTATTATTTTAACGAACTTAGTGTTTTGTTCGAATTTGGAAGTGAACTTCTACATTTTGTTGTTTTATATTTCAATATGTTTTGATGCTTTTCGCAAACAGTACAAAACTTTTCTTTTAATATATATTACATTTAGCACAAGTTTTTACCAAAATTCCTCCCTTTACAATCACTTCACTGATTTATTATCACTTTTTTCTAGTATGTGTTTTCTCAAATGTTCACTAAGCTCATTTTGTACTCACAAATGTGATGTCTAATCATTCCGTTTAATCCATCATCATCTTGTTTTTTCCTACCTGGAAGTCTGTCTTCTTTGTTTGTGTGGTATTTGTTGCACTGTGGTGAGTTCATTATAAGTTGATTGCTTTTTCATCGTTTATGTTTCAGTTAAAAGCTTTCCATGAAGTCAAAGATATTTTGAAGCATGAAATAATTTATGTGCTAAAAAATTTCAAGCTCAAAATAACTTGTCATTGCTCACTATTACGGTACATTTTCACACGAAATTAATGTAAATTTCCGAACTGAATAAAACATTCCATGCATTAAAAACATTAATAAAATTTCTCTGTTAAAAATAAAACTGATTGCCAGCCTGTAATGGAGAATATCTCTCCAAATATCAAAAATATTGTTTATTATTTCCTTCACCAATAAGAAAGGAATAACTTGATGAGTAATTAGTGGATTATGCGTTGAGTTCCACATAATTTACTATCTATATGACAAATAACCCTCTGGAATTTAATATCAGATCATAAAATTGTTTGCTTAAATCCATTTAAATTGTAAAGAAATTAGTGTTAACGATTTCGATAACATTAACAATTAGGTTGTTTCAATATTCCTTGCAATTCAATAGATCATACAAGCATTTTTCGATTATAAGAAAGAAAATTCAAAAGTCTCTTGAAATTAAGAGGAAACATGAGTGGTAAATCCAGTCCCATTACATTCACTTATACGAGCTACAAGGCAGAGACGAGATTTTTCACAATGGATAGACTAAATTCAACAGCTAACAGGCGGTTTTGTTAAAAACTCGCTAATGTTATCGCGCTTAGTAATAGCTTACTATATTTGTACCTGAGCTGTTTTGTTTTATTTATTTCTGATTTACATTGTTTAATTGTTATTTGTCGATAATTGTGCATGTACTTTATGTCAACATATGCAAGTTAATGAAATATTATTTCAATTGCAGATTGAAAGTTAGTATTAAATTAAGAAGAAGAAGATGGTGCGAGTTATCATTAAAGGTGGTGTATGGAGAAATACCGAGGTATACTTTATTCGTTATTACTGTAACGATTAGCAGTAAATGAGATTATAGGATATCCATTAGGTATATGTGAGATTTTATAAGTGTTAATATCGTAGGAGAGCTGAACAGTATAATACATTTAAAATTTGTTTAGAATTATTGACCTCGTTTAGCCAGATGATAAGTAAGGCCAATAGTCTAAAAATTAAAAATGCTGTAAATAATTACTTGGTTGCTTATGTTTACTCACTAACATTTTTCTTCAATGCCTTTATTCTTTTTAAGGATGAAATCCTTAAAGCTGCTATTATGAAATATGGAAAGAATCAGTGGAGTCGTATCGCATCTCTTTTACATAGGAAATCGGCAAAACAATGCAAGGTATACACTTCATATTTTCAAAGAATATAGCATATTAGTTTGTTTTTAGTTTGGATTTAAAACATTACGGGATTCTTTGATATGATTACTCTTGACCAAGCAACTCAGTGCAATCATCTCTGAGAATGGTCATACCAATTGTCATCTCTCTTAGTTACCTTTCTCCAGTTACGAATTTCCTCTCTTGCAAATTCTTCTGCTTATATCGCCAGTTTTCCATTTCTACAACTATTTATCTCAAGTTAGGATTATTTTTGCAGGCCCGTTGGTATGAATGGTTGGATCCTGGAATTAAGAAAACGGAATGGTCACGAACGGAAGACGAAAAGTTGTTACATTTGGCAAAACTTATGCCAACACAGTGGCGGACAATAGCACCAATAGTTGGGCGAACAGCTGCTCAGTGCTTGGAACGTTACGAGCATCTACTGGACGAGGTGCGTCAAAACGTTGCATTTCCCTTTTATTGAATTATTATAATTTGTATCATTACTAAAAACAGTAAAGTATGACGACAGATGCAAAGTAAAACAATTAGAGAGGTAAAACACATTTGAATACTGTTCTCTTTGTCATTTTCCCAAGATCCAATAATGTCTTTGCACTGAATCACTGCTATGGTTTCAGGCCCAGAAAAAAGCGGAACAAATAGATGAAAGTGAAGATCTGAACGATGCTAGGAAGTTGAGACCAGGTGAAATAGACCCGACACCTGAAACCAAACCAGCAAGACCTGATCCAATTGATATGGATGAAGATGAGCTTGAAATGCTTTCTGAGGCTCGTGCAAGATTAGCAAACACACAGGGCAAAAAGGTTGGCGTGTTTATCTAAAATACATTAATATTTCAACTGTTATTTTCATTAGTACTTTGATCTTAGCGTATAATACTGTTTTAGCCATGAATTTTATTTTAAGCTATAGTTATCAACAGTAAATACTTCGGTTTCTCTATACTCGTATGTTGCTGGGTTACGTTCGTGGGATTGTCAAGTATGTAAGCTATGGTCATAGTAAATAAGACTAAATCATCATACCGTTTCGTTTTAGGCAAAACGTAAGGCCCGCGAAAAGCAGCTTTCAGAAGCTCGTCGCCTTGCTTCGCTGCAGAAACGACGTGAATTGCGCGCTGCTGGTATTCCATGGGGGCAGCACAAATTTCAACGCAGAAATCCATTGTATCTAGATTACAGCGCAGAGGTTTCTTCCAGAAATCTTCATTATATTCATAATACCGTGCTTATTTACTTTATATAATTTAGGGTTATAATATATTTATTAGTTTTTATATTTTTTTCTTTAAATAGTTTTTATAAACCTACTATTTTCAGCATCGTTTGTTTACTGACTTTTTTTTTTGAGGAAAATGCATTCTTCAGATTACGAACTTTTTCAGATTCCATTTGAAAAACCTGTCCCACCGGGATTTTACGATCCATCGGAGGACAAATTTGAAAAGGATACGACATTCAAAAAGCAGACTCGAGCAGAAATTGAAGGTGTCCGACGTGACGACGTTGAAAACGAAGAACGTAAGAAGGATCGTGAGAAATTGAAAAAGAGAAGGTGGTTATGTCAGGGATCTCTTGTATCCTGATTTATGCATTTTATTACTAGGAGTGAGTGATACTGATTAGATTTTAATTTAACTTAATGGGAAATAATTTGAAAAAGAACTTTGAATGAGTTAGAATATGGTAGCATATTCCAACTTAAGTTGTAGGTTAAAAATTCTAGAACTAACTACTCAATTTAACCAATGATAGCAGGATATATTGACTACTCAATCAAAAGATACATGGTGGAAGACATCGTGAAATTGTTTTAGCAGGCCGATTTATTGATAATCAAGTTATTGTGTGTAGATTTGCAGATACTCCGCACAGATCCAGTTGGTGGGTAAAAATATACTAGTATATTGTTCTAGTCATTTTACAGGGCCGAGGGTAATCCTGAATCAATTTTTGAACAGAAGGTTGAAAAGAAACGTTCAAAGCTTATTTTACCATTACCGCAAATATCGGATAAAGAAATGGAAGAAATCGTCAAGATTGGACAAGCAACAGATACTATTCGTGAATTTAGTGATAATAATCCAACAAGGTTTTTTCTAGCTCCTAATGAATTTTTGCTTATTTGAATTTCACAAAAGGAATTTAAATCCTTCTCAAGCGGTTTCAAAGATAGAAATTTCAGATATCAATGTTCATTTTAATGTAGCTTTATAAGACTATAGTTCATACTTATTAAATTGGATGGCTCTTTTAGTACACTTCTGCATGATTATCAGATGCCGATCCATGAAAATACTGCGCGAACAGCACGTACACCATCGATGTACGCCGACGCTTTGCAAAAGGTTAATTAAGTGATGATTGCTACTTTGTCCAATGCTTAACTTGCTTCATGATTTCCTTTTATTACCGTGTTACAATCATTACTTTGTCCTATTAATTCCATTGTAGTCGAATCGTCAATTTACTCCATGATTTTGCTGACCTATTTAAGGTGCTGGGTACTGTTAAGCACCTTGTCGCTGTAGAGTTTAGGTGACAAAATTTGAAGTATTGAGTTTCAATTCCTTTTTGCAATTTTCAACCATTTTTTATAATTTTCATATCTTTCTATATGTATATTTCACTTTTCAAGTTCGCCATCTGTTGAGGTACAATTGCAGTGATTGTTAGAACTGTTTGGTTTTTCCATATGTTATTGTTTCAGGAAGCTGAAAATCTTCTTGCTCTACAGAATGCTCCAACACCTTTGAAAGGAGGTGTAAATACCCCACTGCATGATCTAAATTTGCAATCGGCTTTACCACAAGATCGTTCAGTTGTTACTCCGAATACTGTCCTTTCAAATATTGCAGCTACACCTTCTATTTTACAAGGTATTCCTCTTATGGTTCTAAATATTCTTGTTAGTTCTCATTTTACATTTGCTGTTTATATGTATCACATTGCATAGTGTATCATAAATTTAACCTTCTATATATTAAATCCATATTTCCAGGAACACCAGGGCAATCAGAACCTGCTACACCATCTAGTACACCGTTCCGGGATCAACTGAGTATCAATAACCCACAGTTGTAAGTATTTTTAAAAGCTTTTTCTGTTTACGGATTTGATAAAGTCTTGAGAATTGAGTCTTTTTCGTAGTGTTAAGATCAAAAAAAATCTTTAGATCGTATGATTCACGCGGTGAGTTAAAGAAAGCACTGAGTTCATTACCAGCACCGCGAAATGAATTTGTCATCATGGTACCGCCGGAAGAAACTGAGGCATCGCAAGAAGAAGCAACGGAATGGGTAGAAGATGCCAGTGATGTGAGTTTTTTTTCTCAATAAACAAAAAATACTATTAGGTTAATTCTCAAAACATTTACGTGATATTATGTAAGGGTGCTTCCACGTTAAATCCTACTGGTCCTTCTGTTCTCTACCCTTATTGAATATCTATCTTGCTTGGACTTGTTGAACCAATGCATAGCAGATTACTTTTTCGGCCTACCTATTAATTATTATTATTTTTGCATCATAAAATACCACGGTGTTTAAGATGATCAAAAAACCCCAAACAGAATTCCAACTAACATAACAAAAGTTTGGTGTAGTGGGTTCTTCCGAAATATTTTATAAATTGAATTCGGCTATGGTGTTGTAGGTGGATGCTCAAAAAGCGGAAGCGCTTGAATTGCTACGTATCCAGAAATTGAAAAAGGAATCACAGGTTGTACAACGTGAGTTACCAAAACCATCAAAAATTAACGAACAGAGTTTCAAATCAATTTCCAGTAAGAGTGATATTGGCAAGGTGAGTTCTCCCTAAAAAACTGCTTGAAAAATTCTCTGTAAAAGTTTTGCTAATTTAATTCAAATGGGAAAGTGTAGCGATTAGAATTACTTCGAGTTAGGAATTGGCGCAGAACGGTTCAAAATTGTAATATTTTAACTAGTTAGATGAATTGAATGGGGCAATTTCGTGACAAATATATTTTTTTTTTTGACGAATTACAGGGCCATTTTATGCATTGGGAGTCACTAGCAAATGAGGAAAGTTTTCTTGATTCATGATGGCTACCAGAATATTTCAAATAATACCGCTAGACGTTTTGTTGCAACTGATCGGATGCACATCACTTTATGAAGTGTGTTAATTTTGTTTGTTGGATTTCAAAATTTTCTAGGCGGATGATCTGATAAAGACTGAAATGTTTGTTATTCTGAAGCACGACGTCAATGAACACCCAATCGACGATATTTCTATAGAGGATCTAGGAGAAGCAGAAAAAATGATACAGAACGAATTACGACCGGTATGTACGAAGTTCGGTCCGAAAATTTATGTCAGATTATTTTGATAGTTAATTTTATCGTTTTTGGAGCAATCGTAATGTATATATTCTATTCCAGGAAGAACATGCTAGTTTGAACGCAAATCTGTGGGCTGTTATAGAGCAGTGTTCGTCGGAATTAATTTTGGCACAAAATAAATTTACTCGTTTGGGCGTTCTACCTAAAAAGGACCAAATTGATGCCCTTTCAGCTAAATTCCAGGCAGAACATTTCTTTTGTTTTCTTTCGATTGAACTTGGTTATAAGATTTCCTGCTGAATTTGCTTTAACATTTTAGGACCAAAACAACAAACAGAATAATATTTGGTAGTTTTTAATTTTATCAAGTTCAAAGTACTTTATCGTAAATTTTCAATATTTCCTTAGCATTGATAATAAATTTTACAGCTTTATCGAGATTGGATGAATACACGTGCTAAAAAGACGGCAAAAATGGAGAAGAAACTGAAAGTGAAATTGGCTGGTTATCAGGTAGTTTTCGTTTTTCGAAATTTGCTAGGGAACTCACATTCATTAGGTTTCATTTTAGAAATTCAAAACCTATAAACATTATGCTGTCTGCAGTTTATCACGATACTTCTCACAGTTTCGTCTTATCATATTGCCTACGCAGATTTTATAGTTAGTGTGCCGGATAAGTTAATTATTAGATGTAATACCTGTTTGAAAAATTGCAGTCAGCGTCAAAGTAATTCATGGCATTTGTTATTGTTATTCAAAATCATTTATTTGTAATCATTAATTTTTAGAGCATCGGACAGCATTTGATAAAACTTATCGAAGAAGTAAGAGCAGAATTGGAAGCGTGTAAACGTGAAAAAGCTACGTTTGAATTGTTAGAAAAGAATGAGGAGAAAGCAATCAGGAAGCGGCTGAACAAACTTATGGATGAGGCCACGCAGCAGGTTAGTTTGTGTTTTGACCATAGAATAAAGCATAATCTCTGCAGTGCTCTTATAGAAACTATTACAGAAACTATTGCTAGGAACTGTTGCTAGAAACTGTTAGTCTTATAGAAACTTATAGAAAACTCTATAGTGCTCTTATAGAAACTGCAAGGGAAGAAAGTTTTTTTCTTTTTTCATTCCCGGCTTTTACACACGATCTATGTTGAAAATATACGAGTATTGTGCTTTATGTTTCCTTGGAATAACTGAACATTAAAGAAGAAGTGTGTAATTAAATGTTAAGTGTTTAAGTGGATTTCTAGCGAAGATAATTTTCTTTGATCAAATTCATTTTGTTCTTTTAGACTTAATTTCCATTTTTTTTTTCCAGGAAAATCGTGAAAAAGAGTTGCAGAAACGCTTCGATGAACTGATGCAAGAGAAGTGGAATATTGGGCAAGCACTTGTTCGAATGGACGCGACAATCACTGCTCAGCCAATTGCGTATCAATGAGAAATGAAATATCTTTCTGTTGGATATTTTTTTTATACGCGTTTATTTTTTCTTTAATTTGAATTTGTTTTTGATCATATGTTTTGCTGCGTTAGCCTTTTCCAAATACTTGAAAATGTTTCTGCAGAATTTCTACATATGCAAATAAACTGTGTTAGTGTATGAAACGTTTAGATAAATATATTCCCGTTTAGGGATGTTTTCAGTTAGTTTGTTTTGCCTACATTTCTCATATATTTTAAATACATATTGTCGAAATGTAATGCACATTGTTGTTTTGACACAAAATTACTTTGATTGGTCATTATTAGACTCTCTGAAACTGTATGCTTTCTAGTACAGTTGTTTGCTGCGAGTTAAAATCTGATGATTTTACTGGTAATGTCATAGCAACAATAAATCGGAAAAGAAAATATTGATCGTATCTAAATAATTGCGTTGATTGGATTTTTTAATGTTTGCTAAAATCATATTATGTTTGTTTGCGAGAATTTTGGATGTATTTCATTTACATACAAGAATTATTACATGAATAACGGTGTTTCCCGTGTCATACTGCTGTGACACTTTTCTGTATTACCAATTGTGATAAAGATAATCGAATGAAAAATTTGTTAATTGACAAATTTGCCATCATTTTAAATCTACAAATAGCTGCGACAACTGAAAAGTAACAAATTAATGAACTATACTACAAATGAAAATAGAAATGTCATGCATTGATGAAAAATCTCGTACATTGTTTCAAAATAAAAGACAACTGAGAATGAAAAAGAAATGTAAGATAATCAAAGATAAGAAATGATAGATTGGAAGAAATTAAGTAATTGTATTATTAACAAAATCACTATATGTTCTATATTCAAAATTAGTAGTTCATATTTTAAAATTACTCTTCTGTTGCAAATTTTCAAATTTGACAAAATTATGTATTTTAAACTGCTACTAATTACTTCCAAAACATTTTTTTTAAAAGCTATTATAATTTTTCTTCTTTTTCTTTTTTCTTTTTTTAATTTGAGTAAACATTAACAAAATTATATATTTAAAGGGAAATATATTGTTGTTTATATAAACATCAAATATTTTGCATATCAAAAAAATGGAAATACATTTCAGTTGGATAATAAAATACTGAATGACCATATCATTTGAATTACAATTATCAGGGCGTGTCTAATTAAGTATGCATAAAGTATTAATATACGAATAACAAATCACAACAAATCATTCTTCATATCATTTAACAACTTTTCGAAATGTTGGTAATTAAGTGCTATATCTTATCAATTAGTATTAGATTTAGATTTTCAATTAGTATCGAATTACTTATTTATTTGCTATATCAATTATGAAATATTTTTCGTCGAGGTAACTTTTTATTAAAATTTAAAATTATTGAAGTGAAAATTGACGAATATTCTTGTCATCTGTAATTAATAAAATCATTAAGGTTATCTAGGATGATTTGAAAATTTATGTATATAGAAGACTGTGTTGAATGAATAATTATCTTCCAGCATAATAATTTAATTTATTTCGTTTTGGAATTTTAATTTTACAGGTCATAGCAAGAATGAGTCATGTTATCATTAATTATCATTTGTTTATTGTTGTTCGTTATCAACTATCACTTGTGCAATATGTCATAGCAAGAATGAGTCATGTTATCATTAATTATCATTTGTTTATTGTTGTTCGTTATCAACTATCACTTGTGCAATATGTCATAGCAAGAATGAGTCATGTTATCATTAATTATCATTTGTTTATTGTTGTTCGTTATCAACTATCACTTGTGCAATATTTTGTAAAATTATAAATTGGTAATCAGTATGACAACAATTATGTTTCCTTCAGTGTGATTTAAATAATCGATCTGAAATAATAATTATAACCTTATATGTATATATATAACTTACTGAAATAATCAGTATTCCCAGTGATTGACTTTGAATTTTTGAATTAACAAATTAGCTTTTCCAGCAAAGTATAATTTTTATCGTTTACAAGAAGAACTATTATTTTTAATTTTTGATTTTAAGATTTAAAATTATTTTTTGTTCCTTATTCTATTCATTTACTTATATTATATTTATTTCTTATTATTATTGTTTAACAAAAATACAATTATATTTATGCATATGAAAACACACAAAATTCATTTTATTTTTATTCAAAAAATCACCAAACAACAAATATTTCACAAAGATTAATTAATTAATTTTATTTTTTCTTAAAAAAAATTTCTACGATTCTTTTTTTTAAAATTTTTTATAATAAAATGAAATTTCCCCTCTCCCCTACTAACTTTCTTTCTCTCACTCTCTTTTTCAATATTCCATAGATCGGTTGAAAGCTAAAGAAATAAGCGAATATCATAATCCGGCTCTTAACCTTTTTTCACATCTCCTTCGGGTATCCGGTAATGGTAATAGTCGTACAATACAATGAGATATACTAATCCTATAATGCTGTGCAACTTCAAGTGGATCATGTTGAAGCACACAATGGTTAAAAGTGATCAAAGCACATGGTGATATACCGTATCCGATCAAATACGTATTCGGTCAAGTAACTAACTAACCGTATTCGGTTAAATAACTAACCGGTGATCTATAGTTTATTTAGATCAAATTTTTTTCAATTTTTTTTAATACTTTTTTTTGAGATAAAATTATAATCAAAAACAAAAAATATTTTGAAATATTTTTTGAATTTCTAATCATTGCGCAAATATTTTTGAATGGGATATTTTAAAGTTAAGCAAATCTTCTAGCAGTTATAGCTATATGCCAAATGTAATCATACATTTATGGAAGAAACGAAAGATGTGAAATATGTTGAAGAGATGGTAAATTAACATTTCAAATTTCATTTATCACAAATTCTGATGTTACTTGAAGGAATAACAATTTATGCTTATTTGCATATTTTATTTCATGTTATTGATTTAATTCATTCAGATCTGGCGCATAACAGTAATAACAATGATAATAAATAATATGATAATAATAGTAATAATAATAATAATGACAACAATAATAATAATAATAATAACAATAATAATAATAATAATAATAATAATAATAATAAT